CCTTGTTGGGCAATCCCGGCTTGTCTGCTCTCTGTCTGCGGCTCGTTGCGAAACCCCACTCTATCCTCTCTTCTCTCTCTCTCTCTCTCTCTTTCGCTCCCGGCTTCCGTCTCGGAGACTCTCCATGGGAATGTCAGAAACAAGAGGGACAGAAAAACCTTCCTGCCGCTCTGGGGCCCGTTCCGCGGCGGCGGCCGTTGTGAGTTGATGAAGTGAATTCGGAGACTTCTGCCGTGTGCGGGTTTCGAACAGATGCTGCCCGCGTCCGAGGTTACCGTTTGATGATTCTCATCCCCTCCGCGGGACAATTGGAACATCAAACAAACTTCCATCTGACAACTCTCTCTGTATCTCTCACGAGAGATGCAGTGCGCAGCCTCCTCCCAGCCCAGGGGGTGTGAATTAAGTCTGAATTATCATCTTGATCTCTTGCCACCCCCTCCCATCGTCTCAGCCTGCGCTAGTGGCCCGTTGTGCCATCCCATAGTTTGCGGCCCTACTTTTATTTTCCCTCCCCTTCCAGTCCCCCTCCACGTCGCGCCTCTACACTAACTAGCCCGTGTGGCCTCGCCAAACTTGATCGCTGCGGATCAAACAGGCGATGCTGGCATGATCTCTCTGCTTCCTCTCGTGCCTGACCCGAACCCCAGGCCAAGGCCAGGCCCCTGGGAAGGAGGGCGGCGATGCTGGTCCGCCCCCGGCCTTTCTCTCCCCCCTGGGAGCGGGCGGTCCAGGCACGGACACGAAACCGGCGACATGCTGTTTCAGCATTCTGCTCGCCCACTTGGTCCGCGACGGCGTCGCCCTGGTGATGAAGTCCTGTGTGCCTTAACCGCTATGCGAAGCAGTCATACACGCAAATGCCCAGCCCAAAACAACAGACGCAACGGTCTGAACGTGTGGTGGTGCAAGTTGTGCCGAAGGAGGAGGACCTTTGCAACCAAGGCACTTCGTAACGACTTGGCGATACGATGCGATGCGACACACGATACCGAACCGGACGGACATCTCATGAGCTAATTCTCTACGCGGCACGGCACATCTCTGCGTCTCTGTCTTTTCACTGACCGCATGGCGGCCCAATTCCCCTCCCTCCACGGCAGCCCTTCCAACCCCCAACGAGTTCGATGAGACGCAAGACGTCCCGCAAGCCCGAAAGACTTTTGAACCTTAACGCGTCGTCGTTGGCTGTTGGTCGGTCCCCCTTCCCCGTTGGCCGCGCACCACACCGAACCCGCTGCGTTGGTAACTTCCTTCCTGCGTGCCCGTTGGGGGTGTGTGAGGGGGGGATGGTTCAAACTTTGTGCGGCTTTAGGTTGGCAGCTGTGACTCCGATCACGACAGATCATTTGTGGTTGTTGTCACAGAAAGGGGGGAGATAGAGACGGGCGGATGACGACTTTGTGTCGTTGTGTCTTGCCTCTGGGGATGGTCCCGGTTTGGGCCATGTGCGAAGAAGACGTCGACGGGGTTCTCACAGACGGAAGAATTAATCTTCGAGTTGTTCACGCGCGAGACTTGTGAAGTGAAGGGGGAACGGCACATGCGGTTTCGATGTTGGCCCGTGATGGAAAGTCCCGAAGCCCTTTGCGCGCTCGCGGCCGCTGGTAGAAACGTACGTCCGGAAATGTACGAGTTCGCGCGCGATCAGCCTGCCGAAAGCGGAAATTCATGACCGAGAAGGCTCGCTTTGGTGGAGGCTTGCCGCTTTGAAGGGCATCGTTCTGTCTAATCCGCGCCCCCAAGAAAACGGCCGTGCATTGATCTTTCAGAGATTAAGTAGATTAGTTTGGGGGAGAGGAGGGGGACGGGGAAGAGGAGGAATCACATCCGAGGCTGAGGAGGGTTGAGTGAGGCTCGGTGCCGTTATTAGGCGCGCGACAAAGAAAAGTGACGGCTTCGGTGTGGGCTGTGCCTGGTTGGTGTTCGTGTGTGTGTGCGTGTTTGCTGTCCTCGACCCGGACGTCGATCCGTAGGCGCCGGGATTCCGTGGGGGAATCGGCCCCGCTTTTAGGTTTGTGACCGGATGGTGCCGACGGGCATGGTGTTTGGTTCGTGTGGTGATGTTTTGGCATGGTGTTTGTCGTTGAATGCCTCGTTCTTTCTTTGTGGTGAATGCTATTTTGGATTACAAAAACAAAGGGGGTTTGTCCTCGTCGACAATGCCTTGTGGCGGAGTTGAATGTGATTTTCGAATACGACCGCGACGCGAGTGAGCGAGGGGTGATGAGAGATGAGAGATCGCAGAGACTGATAGCTTGCCTAAACGTTAGACCAGATCTAGAAGGACGCAGAAGTTGAATGTCGCAGCGGGCGGGGTACAGATTGAGTTCCGGTGAATTTCTTATCTGGATATCGTGAGCTAGAGATTAAGCTTGTTGTTCTCCAAAATCCGGCACACCTCTTTCTGCCCTCCCCTCCGAGTCAGAGAAACGTTACTCGACAGAGTTTGTTCGGAGTAACCCTCTTACGGAGCAATCCAGCTGGGCGTATTTGGTTCGATGCAGAAGTATGCTACTGCGTATTACTTGAGACAGGTTACTTGGACGGATTCAGCCTCTTGAACGTTTCTCGGGTGTTGCTGAAGCTGTGGTTCAAGGTTGCGTCGAACAATCTTGACAAAAGCTTGCATTTTGTTCATCATAAGGGCGTCAGGTAACTTCCTTAAGCTTCGATCTCATGGTGCCACTCGTATGTGCTGAAGAGTTGTGCGATTTTGAGCATCGCAATACCATTCGTCATCTACGTATCCAAATGAAAGGCATCGCGAGGAAGGGGATCACTGATTCACTTCCATTCCTAGATACTGTTTTGTCGTCTCTTTGCTCCTCTTAAGTAGTACTTACGGGTGAAGCTTGGCTTTGCCTGCTTCTATCAACCGTGTTTGCACAGCGAGAAACGAACGAAGCCATCATGCCACCATTGAGAGCCGTATCCCGTGCAAGCTTTCTGCGAAGAACAGAAGCTGAGTCGGTGGTCTTTGAGTTTTCCCATACTTCATATCCCTACACAATCTTTTCTGGACGAAATGCTTGAACAGATTGAACAGGACGAAGTTCGTCGACCGTATCGATCTGCGCTTACAACCAAACATCACATACCCCCATCTATCGCATGCTTCTACGTCATCTCAGGAGGTCTTTAATACCCAGATATCTTGCTCGCCTTTGATTTCAGCATTGACCTTCACTCGGTATTCACGATGACTGCGGCTTATTGACGAAAGCGTGTGGTCGAGACGAGGGCCTCAAGGGTTGCCACCTATCGATTATATCTCATTCGGCATTCTTTGCACCAGAAACTAGACAAGATATTCGGTGGTCAATGAGGACTACCATAGGTGCACAGCGAATTGACATTTGAGGTAGTAGCCTAAGATGTCATCAAAGAGAGCGAATCGACATGAGCCCTCTGAGTGTTAAACAGGCTATCGGCCTGCTTTGTAGCCGGGGAGCGTGTTCAGCATACCAGGTGCCGTTCCTTGAAATAAGAGATAGCTTAAGCCTCACCGCAACTTCCGGTGAATAGCGGCATAAGCCACGGACACGCGTATCTTCACACGACGTCGTTTTTATTTACCGCATCCCTAACAGAAGTTTCTATGAGATCGACGGTTCAACCTTATTTCTTATTACATAAATTGATAGCTAGATTAGTGCTTTTAAGCCAAGATGAAGTATCTTAGTAGATTTAGTAACAGTCGGGGTAGCGACTTTAGATAGATGCCGCTAGATACGAGTGTTCAAAAAACTTGGTCAGGATCTGCCGTTGTCAGGCACAAGACAAGATACTAAATCGCCCAGCTTCTCAAGAAATAGAGACTGTAGAGTTACATAGAACATAGGACACTATGCTCGAAGGGCAAAAGAGCAGCAAGAGGAAGTTGGATGCCTGTGAAGTACGTGTAGTCGGCTATATGCTGAGCCAATGGCCAAGCGTTATGAGCGCCAACTTGCACTGCCTGCACTGAAGTTCAATACGTGAATTCGCGTATTGCAACAGCATCTTCCTCGTATGCAATGAGCTGTACTATCAAATCGCCGTCGTGACGCATGGAAAACTGCAACAGCCCGCAATTTCTCAGCAGACAAATTGGAATAGTATATAATCAGATTGGCCATATCATTGAAGGACAACATGTTTATCCCCATGGACAAGACATCTTTCACATCGGTCACGAATTATCGAGCCTCTTGCGATGAGATTCGGTCAACTTTGTGCAGTAGCTGTCGCTGCTACCAAGCTCGCAAACGCATCGGACTGCAAATGCGTAAGTACTTACTCATCTTGGAATTCCTAGACAAGCAATATGGAAACTAGAAAGAACCGCTAAGTTAAACAGGCCCCCGGCGACTCTTGCTGGCCTTCGGACGCAGTGTGGACGGCCCTCAACGAGACCATTTCCGGAAGGCTTCTCAAGACCGTCCTTCCTAGGTCAGTCTGCTACAAGGACCAGCCAAACTACGACGAAACTGCCTGCCAAGCAGTCCTCTCAAATTGGACCACAGCCGCCTTCCACTCATCTGACCCAGTGAGCGTCCACTCCCCATGGTATGCGAACAACAGCTGCAATCCAATCCATGAAAACGGCACCAATCCCTTCGGTGACCCTTTGGCAGGTTCCCGAGGATGTACCATGGGCCGTTATCCTGCGTACTCCGTCAATGTGACCAGTGCGGAAGACGTCCAAGCCGCCATCAAGTTTGCTCGCGAGCACAATCTGCGTCTGAACGTCAAGAATACTGGTCATGGGTCGTCCAAGTGACTTTGATCTGTACGAGGCTATCCAGACATTTTTCTAATGTTGCCCCTTTCCTTCTCAGGAGCATTGCCTATGGAATCCTGTCGTAGGTCCTCTCTGCCACTGCGAATCTCGCCGTACTTTCACTCACATTTCCGGAAGGATCTGGACTCATAACTTAAAGAAGCATGAATTCCATTCAGAATTTGCTCCGAGATGCCCTGCGCTCAACTCAACCACCTCTACACCTCAGTTAGCCATGACCTTTGGCGCCGGGATCCAGGATGATGAAGCTTTTCGGGCCGCTGCAGAGCATGAAGTCGCCGTGGTCGGCGGGACCAAAGCGGTAAGCAAACAAAGACTCGCGCATTGGACAACCCAAACTACAGAAGCTGATCTCTACAAAGGACGTTGGCCTCGTGGGCTGGGCTGTCGCCGGCGGCCACGGCTGGCTCACCAGCGAGTACGGAATGGGCGCCGACAGCATCATCGAAGCAACCGTCGTCACGCCTACAGGGGGCATCATCACTGCCAATAGATGCCAGAATTCCGACGTCTTTTGGGCGATCCGCGGCGGCGGCGGCGGGACTTTTGGCGTCATCACAGAGCTGACCGTCAAGGCACACCCGATGCCTCAAGCAACCACCTGGATCCTTAACGTGGACGGAAGCACCAACACCACCGTCAAGGATTGGTGGTCTCTGATCGCAGAGCTTCACACCGAGCTTCCGGCCCTTAAAGCTGGAGGTTTCCAGGGTTGCTATACAGTCGCAGGCCCTCTGTCTTATGAATCACTCCACTTCAGTTTCTTCTTCTTCATATACAACAAACCAAACGGAGCAGCGGAAGCGCTGGCGGCGCCTGTCTTATCCAAGCTGAAGGATGCGGCCTCTGAGGTCTCGTTTACCTCCAACATTACGTACTTTGCAGACTGGTTCACAGTCTACGAGATGCTTCCGGTGGCAGCACTGAGCGGTGCCGCCGGTGGAGGAGGCGCAACTGTCTCGAGATTGATACCCGCTGCGCCCCTTACTGGTAATGTCCAGAAGATGGCGCAAGTCCTGGAAGCCGTTGGGCCTCGTGCCGAACCCCCCTCGGTACGTTTTGTCCCTTTTGTCCGAGACTACAGTCTCTCCAGACATGCACTTCTTGCTAAAGTTTGAAAGAGTGGCATCTCGAACCCCACGATTGCAGGGGGGTTGATCGCCAGTGGTATCCCCGTCGATAACGCCCTCGATCCCGCCTGGAGGGAGGCAGTAGTGCACTTTCTCGTCACGAGGGGGTGGGACGATTCTGTTGCTTACCCTCAGGTGGCGTATGCCGTAGACGATGCAACAGAGCGAGTTGGCGGTGCTCTACGGAGCCTCGCCCCTGAGTCGGGTGCTTACATCAACGAGGTGAGCATTCGCAAGAGCCACCCCGTCGTAAAGACATGGAGACATTTGCTGACTGCAACAGGCCGACGACCGCGAGCCCGGCTGGCAAAGGACCTTTTGGGGTCCCAACTACGACAGGCTCCGAGAGATCAAGAAGAAGTATGATCCCGACTCCATTCAGTGGTGTCACCGCTTTGTTGGCAGTGAAGACTGGGTTGAGCTCATGGATGGTCGTCTGTGCTGCTCATCGAGCCAGTAGGACTGGGCATTGTCTTCTTCCATCAATTCGGCTTCTCATTCACCATTCGGGTTTTTGCCCCCTGTGAGGAGGGACATCTCACGCCCATTTCAAAAGCATTATGAGACGCTTCTTGGATCATGGTCGAAACTTCAAGTACCATTCTGTCAAATATATCCATATCACTAGGTAGTCACCATGTTATCGTTCATGAGGGCCATGCCACCGAAACATGCCTGGCTCTCGTCGTATCATAAAAGGTTCATTCATCTACGTTATTTCCGTAGTCCCTTCTGATTGTTGCACTTTAATGATTCTGGACATCTTCGACCGGCGGCAAGAAATATCCGGTCGGAGGACACCGATTCATGGGCGACAATCCAGAACAATGAAGACAGTCACTAGCGAAAACGTGACTTATCTCTTTTGCGTGATGTTCTCATCTGTTTTCCTGATGGAGTGGACGTTGCTTCTACGTATAAAATCGAAGAGTGGCGCCCCGAAAGCGTTCCTTCTGGAACACACCACAATCATGTGTGCTTCCAGATCGTTTGCAGGCGTTCAATTTCAGAGAATCTACGGGGATCGAATTACCGTCTCCTGCTTGGTTGTTCCGCGGACAAACACGCGCAAAACTAACGAATCTAACGTATACTAGAATGCCTCATCGAATAAACTAAAGACGGCGATAATGCCGGATGGCATTGGGCAGGGCTCATGGCGGTCACATTTTCCTACGATTTAAGCCGCCGGGATTTATACATTGGGGTGCTGTTGATACTTCAATGCATCATATAGCCAAGCAGACAATTTCTTGGTCGTGGAGAAAGCAATGGGGAGAAGCTACGGAGTTGTGTTTTATGTCTCAGGCAGTCGCTTGATATCCCCATCCCTACGACATCGATCTTAGGACATGGTCGAGTGCCCGTACATCCGGCAGTCTCAGTATAAAATGGCGGCTTCTTCTCCGGAACAACCTCGGATCCAGGAGGGAACAACATTAAGGCCGCTTTCCTGATTGTGTCTTATAGAACGGCAAGCAACTTCGCGTTATGAGTTACTGAAGGCCGTGAGCTGCGGAGGGACCAGCCAATCCAATATCCTAGATGTGTATCACATCCAAATACGTCAGAGATAGCGAAACCAAGGGCGAACGCCAGGTTGATATTGCAAGACGTATTTTGATCTTTATTAGACAGCACTCGGGGGACGGGGATTTTATATTATTAGAGGACACCAAGCTGACCACACCAAATTGGTAGCACGACCATTCGGCTTGGTTTGTTGTTCAAAACTCCTACCCTGAGAGCGCTTTATATCCAAGCATCAGTCTTCGGTTCTTGAAGTCCTAAGGGCTTTCCCTTGACAGCTACAATTTCAAGGGCCGCTCTGAATCTAATCATTGCACAAGAGCCATCACAGGAAACCAAACACACAACCGCAGACTTCCATGGCAGGAGAAGAGGGTAATGAATCCCACAAAACGTACAGAGAATCTACACATATAAAGATAGACGATATATCAGCTACGCTATCGAGAACTCACACAGCAATGAGCGGTGTTGACGGAAGAAGCAACACATAGTAACATATTAACAATACACTTACGGCCGACAGTAACTTTTGACACCCAGCTACTGTCCCATTGTTTACTTGTGAACGCGTCTGTGACTTATTCATCGTATTAGGTAGAAGATGAAAGGTTAACGATGCGGGACAAAGGAAACAATGTGATGTTCCATACAGTCCAGCATCACGTAAACACCTCGCCTTGAGAGAGAGACAGAAGTGTGACCACGCGGAAGCGCACTGAGTTCCCATAGATGTGGAAAGCATCCAACACACCCGGTTGGATGATCATTGTCGAACATCAGGATCATGCTCAATGATTGTGCCATTTATACCCACTGCTGCTCAAGCACTCTTCCTGAAATCAATGCAAGTGTGGCTCTGTGAGCTGTATCATCAACCATAGTTTCTACCCCACAACCATCATTCCGAGCAACATACATATCATCTCTGGCAAATTTCATCAACACTCTGGGCATGCCACCTTCTGAGCATGTAGCACATGGAAGAAGATGAACACTCAGACTTATCAGAACTTTCGCCTGGATATTGAGCATCTGGATTAGTACCTCGGCAACCTAGACTTTGCCAAGCACAGCCGTGTTGAGAAACAATTCATCGCAAAAAAAAATGATGCCGAAGCTGAGGCGAGCTGAAAGGTTTCTTTCCAGCTGCCAAGACGCTGCTTGAAGCATGCTTACCTCTGATCAACGTTGCCACGACAGCCAAGCTCGTTGTCGCAAAGTCTGGTATTTTCAGCAACCGCCCACCTTACGTGGCAGCACATGCGCAACAAGACCTGCTCCGAGACATCTGACTTGGACCGACACATCTCGATGAAACAAAAAAACTGCCAAGCTCAGCTCGCCAGCCTATCGCCCGGATCGACAGAGCCAAGGAATGAACAGCAGTGACATACTTCGCCCAGATCTCGCGAGTCCATTTACGCTTAAAATAGGAATGTTTCACAGGAATGCCCCAAAGACCGAGAGTCTCGGTTGCCACGGCGGCTAGAAGCCAGACGAGTCTGCTAATTCGGCGTCATCTCAGCGGAGAGCAAAGATCACAAGAGAATGTGGTTTCCGAGGTATTGGCGTGCCGACAGCCGTTAGGTTAATAAGGTTAGCCGGAGGCATCACGGGGCGATTGACGGCCGGGAAGCCACGCAGTCTGATGTGACACCCGGATAAGTTCCAGAACAAAGCTTCCGACTGAACTTACTTCAGATGTTACTCGACGCCCGTGACAGCTCGCTGACTGGCTCCCTTTTCCGAAAAGGGCAACCAAGAAGCTGCGTGAGGGTGTCACAATCTATTTTCGTCACCGAAGCATGGCGATTCTTAACGCCCTCGGACAATAAGATGCCTTGCCGGGGCGTTGGGACCATCGGCGCGCCTGCTCGTCCAAGGCGGGCATCGTGAGCCCGAGCAGAGCCTGGGTACGCTTGACGGAAACAGGATTTATCTGGCCGGGTTGTTGTAAAATGACGCGAACCGACGGCTACGAGAGGCCTGTCTTGTGTTCGTCCGAACCGTGCGACCAGTAAACGACGATTCAAATTGCGATCAAGTCAACCGAGACCCTGAGAATGTTTCGTTTTGACTGTCGATAGTTTGCGAACGTCAGCCAGAGAAAGTCTCTTTTCGGTACGCGGAAAAGACTGGCTTGACGTATATTGATAGCGATATAGATGGGGGCTCTGTTTCTCGGAAACGTTGCCGATGGACTCGATACCTTGTTTGGGCCATTGCGTGCTCATTGAAGTCCCGGTCTCCGACTGACCTGACAGCCGACCCAGATCGTTGCGACATGGCCCCAACAGCCCTTGACCAGAATGTATCACAGGGCCACCAAGTGTGGCTGACGGAATGCCAAACAGGCAATCCAGTTGCTGACTGAGAATGAGCTGAGGCAGGTCAGTCAGGATTCCAAGGCCGTGCGGTTGCAGGAGCCCCTGTTCAGATGAGGGAATTGGGATTGTGGTCAACCGGCCGACTCCACATCCCGTCTGTCGTGTACTTTCGTCAGAAGTTTGATATGCCCAGAGACCGAAGGAGCAGGCTGCGCTGAAAGACCAAAACCGTGCTCTTCCTGGAGCGATCCTCGGGAGCTACGGAAGATGAAATCATCCGTGCGCCATGTGTTTTGCCCAAGATGATGAAGTTGCACCATGAAGCATGAGAAAGGGGTAGAACACCATCTTGACTTGTTAGTGCGGAAAATAGCCCGAGCCATCGACACGATTGTTTTCGCGCCATCTGATCACTGTGGCAGATGTAGATCTCTGCGTGGAGACGGTGATTGCCTTTGTCTTGGAGACGACAGCAACAGAGACTCAAGCAATGAGTAGGGCGCACTCGGGACGTGTCAGGTCCCCGCGATCCCTGCCGGGGAAATCCTACGGACTCGGGAGGAGGAACGCGCACAGAAAGAAGGCTGGCTACGCTTGCCGCTGTCATCCCTGGCGCTATGAACTTGAGGAGCCATTCGATGCTGCTTGTTGGATAATGACTCCGGTGTCACACACATAAGATAGCATTCAAAGGTAGAAGTATCTAGGTAAAGCAACGACACACTTCGGCCAAGTGTCGCACGAGCGAGAACTTGTGTTTGGTGTGGTTGGCTAACTAGTAACGTTGAGGTCGCAAGTTGCAGCACAGAGGGGATCTAGAACAGTTTTCTAGCGTTTCGCTCAACTTGCTTTCGAGACTTGGAGATAGAGGCGTATTTGTTTGATGTTTCTGTGGGTGTCGTGGGTTTGCCGCTCGCGCCGTATCTGACCGGGGGATTTTGCGCCGTTGCCAGCGATGTCTTGCTGAACGATCCTAGTCTTTTGAGCCCCCAGTTTGAGGGCGATCGGCACAACTAGTGGCTCCATCCCATAATGAAAGCGAGGATATCGGCAGGGAAGTTGACAACGCTTCGATTTTCAGTTGAGGGAAACAACTGGAAAGGCGTTCTGAGTGAAAGCGGCGTCGTGGATAACAGAGAGGTGGTTGTCTTAGCTGTCTTGCATGCCGGAAAGCTAGAAATCTCACGATGACCTGCAGACCCCTTGCAAGTGCATTTATGGGGGGGGGGCTGCACCATCCTGAGCAAGGTGGTCGGTCCACTATCAACTTCAGGTTGCTGAAAGCTGCAGAATTGGGACTCGAGTCCCAGCAACGGCAAGGGTGGATTCTGAGGAGAAGAGCTCGAGCCTCGTCCCGTCATTCGTACAGCAGCCGGACGGTTTATTAGCTGGCACCGGGCTCACGCTGGACACGAGCAGTTTGGCAGGCAGCTGTCAGCCGATTGGTAGGCTGCTTACGGCCTGCCCCCACGACGTGAGCAAGCGCACCGACTCAACGGCGACGGCGTACTAAGTAAAGGGGAAGCGGGCTGCTATGTGGGAGACGAGAGGGACCCGTCCGTGGATGGAGCGATAATATCACATCTGAAGTCTCTGCGTGGATTTGAGGCCGGGGCGGATGCGAGTCGAGGTCGAGGATCGCCGCCGTATTGTACTGTTCCCAGCCCAGCCCCTATTTGTGCAAATTTGCGCCAATGGAAGCGGCAAAGCGTCTCGTCGACAAGGTCTGGACGACGTATGTGTGTGCCGTTGCTTTCTGCGTCTCGATGTGGTAGTCGTTGGCTGTTGACTTGTGAGTGGAAGTGAGTCGTCATGTTTGTGGTGTTCCTGCGAGAAGCCTCCCGCGGCAGCGATGTTCCATGTTTGAGACAGGCACGCGTGCGAGGCCTGTGACCTCGTTGGTGTCCCCTAGGAGCTGGATCCGGGGCGAGACTAAGGCGACTAACGGCGGTGGTTTGGGCGAAGGCGGCGTTTGGCTCTGGGCTTGTAGGCAAGGCCATCCCCTATTCCTGCTGGACCAACCAGCCTCCTCGAGTCGTCTAGCTGCAAATGGTTCGTAGGACCCCTGAAGGCGTATTGCCCGAGAGCCGTGCATCCCTGGCCTCGCAGCTCATTTGTCCAGATTAAGGTGCTGGACTTCCCTGCAGATTCCCCACCAAACCGCCTGGCCAGTGGCCTTTTTGCTTTCTGGACGGTGGAGACTCCGGTGCTGTCTGGAGGAAGTAGACGAAGACGAAGCCCAACGCAAGCTTTCTTGCTGCTGCTGCTGCCAACTGCTGCAAGAGCTGACTGGATAGCTCCGGGGCGGCGCGATATCTGGCGGGAGCCAATGTTGTTGTTGCTCATGAGAACAATCTCGATGGTGGCCTGAAGGATTTGGGTATCAGTGAATGGTGGAAAGAGCCATGTGATATGGCTCGGGATGCGTAAAAGCAGAGAAGCGAGATGGTCTTTGATAGGGCAGAGCGAAGGCGGTGTGCTGCTGGTAGGGGATACTGAGGTTGGGCCTCTGGGATCCGGGGCTCCAGTCAATGACGAGCGCTGTTCAAGATTGGATGTTTGCGGTCGGTCACGGTGGCAGGCGCGCCTACGGCCCGCAGCACCTACGCAGTAGGTATCCACGACACATTTGTTGGCGTTCAACGGGTGGTCCGCTGTGGTTCGTTTGTGGGTGTCAATGATGCTTGGGCAGCTCTAGCTGGCTGGAAGGGTCTGGCTAGAGCCACTGCTGGACCACATGGGCGGCGGCGAGGAGCCAGGGCTTGACCAGGAAGCAGTGATGTGAATGTGAAATGTGAAATGTGCTGTGCGGCTTGCATGTACAGCAGCGGTGCAGGAGAGGAGAAGAGGAGTGGGATGGTGATGGTGTCCTTGCGGATACATGATGCACGCAGTGGAAGAGTCCTCGTGTGGAAGGTAGAAGCAGAGCCGTGAACTGTTTGAGATGAGGGGAGTGTCGTCAGACGATGGTGGTGATGGGAAGCATCCATCGGGTGTAAGTGGTGATGAGAAAGACATGTCTGGAAAAAGGGCCCAAGCTGCCTTACTTACTACCTAGTACCCAAGTAAGGCTTGTCATGACATGCGGGAGACATGGAAGCTCCAGCAGAGCTCCAGTATCCGGCAGCAATGAGAGAAAGAGCTCCGTTTCTTCCCAACAGGCATGGAAAGAAAGGCAATTGCGGTGGCCGACGAGTGCAAATCCTGACTGACTCCTGAGTCCTGAGGTCCCGAAGAAAGACCTGAGGTCCTGAGGTCCTGAGGACACACCACACACTCGCTCGCGAATCCCATCCTCCATCCATCCATCGATGGATACTTTCGTCTTTTGCTTTTGCATTTACTTTTTAGCTCTGTCCCATCCTGCCCCTTCCCGTCCAGTGCCGGCTTGTCTTGCCCCAAGTCGACTGTGACTCTCTTTTCTTTAAGCTGGATCCGATCGACTGGTTGGACCAGACTTTACCTTTTGAGGCACTTCAGATCAGACACACACCTCACCCGACGAGGAAGTCTTCTGTTGCTCGCGCCCCCCTCGCTCTCTCCCGCATTTGTTGACGACACACTCCTTCTCATTTCTAATACTAATCAAACGCTCCCGCACGCTCTCTGCCTCTTCCATTTCCTCCCACTCTTTCTCCTCCTCCATTAGTTCTATCTCTCTCTCGCATCCACCGTACACTTTACACCTAGAGCGCCGGCGTCCTCGTCCCCTCCTTGGAATTCTTCGATTCGACCTCCCACGACTTCTTATACGTCCGCATCCCGCCGACCTGCAGCCACGATTACTACCAAAGACCTTGTGTCACTAATACCCAACACACACGCACACACCAACACCAACACCGCACTCTGCCGCACGCCTCACCCGAACATACAGGACGGCCAGCGAATCCCCTTCCTAGGACCAGACGAACGGTCACACACGCACATACAGACTTGCCGGCGACTCTCTTCATGGACAACCCAGACGGACGAACCGTGTCTCACACAATTGCTAATTCCTAATTCACGAAAGCATCGACTCACAACAGTCGCGGACTCTGCAGCACTCAGAAGAGAAAACGGGAGGCCTGCAACAAGAAAGGATCCGAGCGAGACCGTTGCGAGATTCGGGAGACTCAGTTGTCTACTTTCCCTCGGAAACAAAAGAAACGATAGCCCGAATCAAAAATCGACAGCACCTCATCCCAGGATTCAGGAAAAAAGAAAAAAAGGTACAACCCTGGCTGGAAAAATAATAACGATAACGGTGTTATCAGCGACGGGACGGAACAGGCGCAAACGCACGCACCACTCAGCGACCGTCGAGCCAGAAATTGACCTAGCTTTCGCCGGGTGGACTCCCGTCCACTTCTACAGGCCTCGACAGTGGTGAACTGGGGTTGGTCAGAGACAGACAGCGAAAAGGGTCACCCCTAGCACAGCACCCGGCAACCCAGCACCTTGAGGTGCCCTGCAGGCTTGGAGAGAGAGGACCTTGCCAGCACACCCAGCAAAGCAAATCACAGCACACAGCACACAGAGCGCGCGCAAACCCAGGAAAAAAGAGACGACCAGGAAGGGAAGAGAAAAAAAAAAAAACACAAGCCCTGGTAAGACGCGCAGCAGCAGCACCCAGAAGCGAACGAAAGCGGACTCCCAGCGACGCGAACATGGCTACGGCTGGTTTCGAAGCTGCGGGCCAGGCCCCGACATTGAATCCCACATTGTCTTCTTCTGCTTCAGCATCCGCATGCGCGTCCGCGTCCGCGTCCCCTTCTTCCTCGCTGTCTTCGCAGAGCATTGTCTTCCATTCTCTTTCAGACACGACAAACTCCCCGGCCGAGTCGCCCAACCTCAACATCAACCTGCCCTACCACGCGCATCGCCAGAGCCACAATTCCTCCAAGCTGCCGGCCTTTCGATTCGCCGATTTCAAGAACCAATCCCCACGCCTGGTGCTCCCCTCACTACTGCAGCACATCCCGCCCTCGCCTGTGTCGCCTAAATCGGCTACCGACGAAAACCACTCCGCCACTGCCACGGTCACTGACACTGCTGCCGTAACTGACATTGGCATCGGCCTCACTGCTGCCACTGCCATTGACACTGCCAGCGCCAACCCAACCACAACCGCAACCGCGACACCCACCACCCCGACAACCGTAACAACAACGTCAGAGCAGCCACACCTCCACCACAACTCGCCCGACACCACAACCAGCTCTCGCCAAAACACCCGTCCGACCTCATTGCGACTTGTCCACGATCGCCGCCCTTCTTACCGCCAACTTTCGCCTAGAATTTCGAGCCCCATCGACGAGTTGCCCGAACCGCCGCCAAAATTGAGTCCGCGACTGCGAGCATCAACATTTCAGGCCGCCTCGCATTCCACTCCCGCATCCCCAGCCATCTCCCCTCGGCGCCCTGCATCGTTTCCCGACGGTCCCGTCATCGTCCAGGCTTCAAACGTCGGCGTCGCAGAGTCAAAGACTTCTGGCCCTACTAGGTTGCACATCCGCAGGACGGTTACTTCTCGATCTCGCGAGTCAAATGTTATCGATACAGCGATATCGCCATTAGACACCCATCACCCGCATCCCTCCGACGCAAGCGACGAGGTGCTTTCTCCTGCCGACGGACAAACAAAAGACAGGTCCCACGGCCAGCGCGAATTGCTGCTCCCCAAAACATTGCAGCAAACGAGCCCGACAGATGAGCGACGCCAATCCGTAACGTCGCGACCACCCGTCTCCTTCAAAGCCCCCTCCAACAGTACTTCCACCACTTCCGTTCGCGTCGCTCCCATCCGCTCCTTTCGATCATCAGGGTCTCGTCGGAGTCTGGGACTCGACAGCAGCACTTCCACCATGCGCTCCTTCGACTTTGGCGACGAATTCGCCGACTCGAACCAACGCGACCGAACTTTGCGCGCCCTCGAGGGCAGAATCGACGATGACTTCCGCAGAATGACACCACCGCACTCAGCTAGCCAAGCCGATGCCGACGACACGACCGGTGACGTCTTTATGAAAATCGCGAGACAGGAGCCAACACGTCGCGGCTCGGGTGATGTTGCGCCAGCCGAAGAGTCAAGTGCCATAGTAAGTTTTAGTCCTCTCCATGTCTGCGTTGTTGTTTCGGGATCCCCTTTAGTGCCAGTCGGACGCCCGTGCCCTCTGATGGACATGTCTGTTCGCCGTGTTGTCAACCCGTCTCTCCATATTTTTGGTTGATCATCCCGCTCTCGCTACCTTTGCCCGCTTTGCCAAAGCCTACCCCATCTGAATCGCCTAGTCACCGTCGTTAGCGCGACTTCATTTCACTCAGGTTCCGGCGACGCTCGCCGTGGCGTTCTGCGTGCGAGCATAGAGTTTTACCATGGACAACCGTGACCTGACTGACAATGACAAACAGGCCCGTGTCACCAGATTCTCCCATCGCCGGCCACTCTCGGCAGCCGTCCCATTGTCTTATCACCCAACCTCCCCGCCTCAAATCAGCCGTCGTCTCTCTGACCAGCAAGAGACATCAAAGAAGCGCGCACGACAGCAATCAGAAGACGAGAGCGCCGCAGAACCCATGGCTCGCGCGCTGGCGTACCGCCCCGGATTGACTCGAGACCGCCCCTCATCAGTGCACCCGGCCGAGGACTTGGGTCGCTCCAAGACCTTCCACTCTGCCACGCGCTCAACCGTCTCCGCCGCCAACACACCTCGCTCATTCACCTTCCAGGGCGTGGACACACCGGAATCATCACCGTACTCGCCCTCACAATACGCGCGCAGGCGGCCTTCCTTGACCGACAGCAACGCAGGATATGCTGCTCGTAGTTCCGCATACAGGCAGTCCAACTTGTCCTTTGGCCAGGCACGCACGTACAACTCATCGCCATTAGTGCCGAAGATGGAGACACCGCGTACTGAAACCCACCAACAAGAGGCTGCAAACGGAGTGGAGGGAACCGAGTCGACGGCGACCGCATCTACAACCGCACCTTCGACAGTATGGGATGAGTTGGACGATCTCAAGTCGAGAATTCACCGGTTGGAATTGACGGGCAAGTTGCCAAAGACTTCAGGTGCCGCGATGTCGCGTGCTTCCGACGAGCGACCCCCCACCGCTACCAACACGACGATGTCCACGTCACCCAAGAGAACGTCCGGCAGCAACCACCCCAAGTCGGACGCTATTAGCATTACATCATCGCAGCGCGAGGCTCACCAGCCGATTTTGCTCTCTGCTGTTAACAAGTCGAAGCCATTCCTCAGTGATGAGGTAGCACGAGCACTCGAAACGGCTGCCACTGAAGCACTGGCGCTCGCCAATATGATGGGTACGGCAGGTCAGCCTGGACCTATTTCTAGTGGAGCCAGCACGATCGGCGTGGGTACCAACTTGACGGATCGCCAACTGCGACGCAAGGCGGATAGTATCTGCCGGAGTTTGACGGAGCTCGTCCTGGCCTTGAGCGAGGAAAGCGCGCGTGAGAAGACCCTCCAACTGACGGTATCGACACCCAAGGAGACGACGACTCCTTCTACACCAACTATTGATAAATCGTTCACGGGGGGAACCGGATCTTCTGCGGCGTCAGGAGCGACTGCCCAACAACGTCCAACCGTACCAGAGCAGCAGACCTTGCCGAAACCCAGTGCGGTTATCACCAGTCCTAGGGCTTTATCCAAGTACGAGGAAAGACGCAACACAATGCTCAACACCAGTGCTCTTCAGAGCCCAAGGTTTGCCCTGCCGCCTGGCACCATTCCCTCCACGCCGGGAGAGAAGACCGCGCACCGCAAATCGTCCTTGTTCATTGGCCGGGCTCGTCGGGGCGCGTCAGAGGAACCCGAAGATGGACGACGGTCTTCGCTGCTGCTGAGGACGAGACGCGCCGGCACCGAAGAGCCCGAGGACCCGCGTGCGCTTGTCCGCCAAGAACCTCGCCAGGAAAGCGGCCGCCAGACGTCGCTTCTCCGTACACGCCGAGGAACGATTGGCGAGAACCATGATGACGATGAATCGCCGCGCTTCCGTGCCCCGTCACGGGCAAACACCGAACTCCAAACACCCGGCCGATCCGTATCCCACACCTACCACCCCAACACGGCAGCAAACGAAGTGTCGTCGCCTGCCTCCTCCGCTCTCCCCCGCCGGCGTTTCGGCGCATCCGCCATCACCTCCCGCCTTGTCGCACCCTCTACGCCATCTCTCGCCACACGTCGCTATCTGGAGAGAACTCCAGAACGGGAAGTCGCTAGCTCAGCTGAGAAGCCCGAAGAGCGCGCACAGCCGACTATCCCGCAACCGCGTCATTTTTCACTCAGCCACACGTCCTTGTTGAACAGGGCAAGCAGCATCAACCGCAGAACCAACCGCGACAGCACGATTACGAATACATCGACTGCTGCTCAGGCGGGCAGCTATCGATAACGCTTGACGAATGACACCCACATGGATGGATGAATGTACCATTAGATCTTTTTGTTTTAAGCTGGCGTCAGTCTTGTTTGGCATAGGTTATACCGCATGGGCTCGGCAATCGTCACTTTGTACTTGTATGACAACCCCGACAGACGGCCGGTTGATTGTTGTTGGACTTGCCGACTTCTTGGGAAGGTCGGAGCATTTGTATATCGAGCAACCCATACGGGAAACAAAACGTTATGGATGGGAGCCTCAAGGCTCCGGCATTGGTCAAAAACAGTCTCTTGATTTGTGACTCTGGCTGGCGTTTTGACCTAGGCAGACGTTGATATCATTCCGAGTCAGGTGTTTTGGGAAGGGGTAGAGCAGCTAAAAGTTAATGTATGTCTTGTTATTCTTCCAGCAATGTCGAGTCGTGAGACTCGGATAGGCTTGTCAATTGAGTTCTGTTAACCGCGACGAGCCGCTGTCAGTTGCATTGTGAGAGGTACATGTCAGATGCGCTTTGTCTCCAGATTTTAACATCTCAACTTGGATCCGTGCGACGAAGGAAAATGAACTACTAGCTTTTTTATTCTCCGAACTCGTGTTGGTTGGTTGTCGTTTGACAGGTTTGAGTCACCGGCGACGGGTGAGGCTTGAAGTGAGCCAGGCAGGAGGGTTGAGCCAGTCAGTGTCAGTCACTGCCCGATGAGTTTTTTCAGCGGGCCTCTGAACCGCACCCCTCCTCTTCCGACTTCATCTCAACGTTGCACCCCCCGACTTGCATTATATCTGCGTAAATCTCCATGAAAAGTCTGGTCTCGAATTTTCTCAAGAAGACCAATCCGTTATCCTTGAGACGTACCACAGCAGCGCCCCGAGTTTTCTTTTCTGAGCATTTCGCCACCGAAACAAGGCGGCAGCGGGAGACGACAAGGACGTTTGCGCCCGCTCACACTTACCAACGAATTACACCCAAACCAGCAAACGCTTCACCAAGGCAAGGGCTTGGAAACATGGCTGACGGATTCGACGAGACGGCCGCGGCCGCGGTTGAAGACAGGGCACAGCAGGGTCGCAGGGGAGGACGTAAGGGCGGCCGTGGAGGAGGCGGCGGCGGACAGAACAGAGAGGTCCTCGTGTCCAAGGCCCTTTCCAAGCTCCTGCGGCACCAGGCGGAGAACGCGGGTATCAAGCTCGAGGAGGGCGGCTGGGCTCCCTTGGACAAGGTGGTGAGTGCATTTTGACGGAGGCTGGTGAAAATTCAGGGAGACGCTGACGCAGGGTGCATGAAGCTCGCGTACGGCCCCGTCAAGTCGTTAAAGGTCACGTTCGAGGACATCAAGGCGGCGGTCTCGACGTCGGACAAGCAGCGCTTCGCGCTCAAGCCGAACGAGGCGACGAACCCGGCGCTGGACGAGGGCTCGACGGACCCGGCGCACTGGCTTATCCGCGCGAACCAGGGGCACAGCATCAAGCTTGACTCGGCGGCGCTGCTGACGCCCATCACGGCGGAGAGCGGCAACGTTCCCGAGGTGGTTGTGCACGGGACGTATTTCGCGTTCTGGCGGCAGATTGAGGAGTCGGGCGGGCTGCGGCGGATGGGGCGGAACCACGTGCACTTCGCGACGGGCCTGCCGACGGACGAGAAGGGGGTGGTGTCGGGGATGAGACGGGACGCGGAGGTGCTTGTGTATGTGGATGTGGAGGCGGCGCTGGCGGAGGGGATGAAGTGGTGGGTGAGCGAGAACGGGGTCGTGTTGACGGAGGGGGACGAGGAGGGGTTTGTGCCGTGTAGGTTGTTCAAAGAGGTTAGGGGGAGGGATGAGGCGGTTGTTGGGACGCTGTGGAGGGATGGGGAGAGGGTTTCGGGGTTGCCTGAAGGGTTGAAGATGAGGGCGCCGCCGGGGAAGGGGGGTAGGGGCGGACGGGGTGGGAGGGGACGGGGAGGGAGGTCGTGATGCGGTTGGTGATGATGAATGGGGTATGAGAGGATGATGAGATGTGCTAGACTGTGAGGGCTCACTCTATAAGAACAAAACGTTGACAGCAGGCATATCAATGATGGCATTTCATCGTTGCGTTTGAGGCATGTTGCTCCTTGATGATAGGTGGTTCAACTCGTTGTGATATCTTGATGAAATCCTAGAGTATATAATAAATTCTCCTCCCTCAGTATGAGCTCCTCAACCTACTCCCCAAGCATAGCCTTCCTCTTACGCTCCCTCTGGTCTTGCTTGGCCAACATCCACTCCAGAATCCCCTGCGCCATCTTCTCCCTCGCGGCTCTCTTGGTGTAGATCTTGCTCACGGAGCCCAGGTCTTCGGGGATGAGCGGGTTGTTGTCAAACTCGGCCCTGCCGTTCCAGAAATCGCCCAGCTCAGGGTCTTCCGTCAGAATGTAGCGGGGGACCGGCAGGTTGAGGCGCGAGGCGAGCTTCTCTACCTGCTTCGTCAGTGGGAGCTCGGATATGGGCGCGCCGGCTGGCGTGCCTGGGGCGGAGGACGAAGCGGAACTCGGGTTGGATTTCACACCGGCGGCGGTCGTGGGGGAGGACGGCTTGGGAGGGGATGTGGTCCGGGGCGCCTTTGATGCCTTTTGTTTTGGAGCCGGCGACTTGTTTGGCTTGGGTGATGGGGAAGATCGCGACGGGAGAGGTTCCTGCTTCACGCGCGGGATGTCCGTGATGGACATCGGGGGTGAGCTCGACGGGGCCCTCTTTGCCGGGACGGACGCGGTGGCCGGCGCGGGGACGTGAAGGACGGCGGGAGCGGGCGGGAGAGACGTCCGAGGGGCGGCGGCGGGTCCGAACGGTGTGGGAAACTTGGGCAGCTCGCCGCTGGGGAGCATCTGGCCGTTGCTGATGAGCCATTCGCAGGCGCATTTTGCCGCGAACTGTTTCGCGTCCTGCTTGCGCGTGAAGTCTGGGCTCTTGGCGTTAGGCGTGGCCGGGTCTATGCCGTGGCCTGGACGGGGGAACTTGTCGTTCGTGGCGTCGAAGGAGACGAAGCAGGCCCAGCGGAGCTCGGGAGCCTTGCCGAGACGAGGGTCCTGGCGGGCTTCGTCTGAGAATGTCGCCTTTTGGGAGCGGCATTGAAGCCAGTCTGCGTTGCTTGGTGAGTTAAATGGAGATGTTTGCAAGGGGGGAGGACATACGGTTGAGCGCGCCGATCCAGTTCTGGCCGCCGAGGGTTGGCTCCGCGCGAGGCGGGGGCCGGAGGATGACTGCTATGGCGTTGGCTTCTTCGTCTGAGATGGGAGCTGGCTGGCCGTGTTGCGACTCGAAGGCCTCCTTTTGGGCGATCCAGGATTTGAGGGCGGCCCAGTCCACGCGCGGCACCTGCGCCGTGGTTGGTGTTGAGTTTGACATTGTGGGATGTTGATGAGTGAGGGGCAGATTGGTGGCCAGGGAGGGGTTGGTGCTATGCCGACGGCATGGACGCTGGGCCTGGATTGTCGCTGAGAATGGTGTACCGGAGGCTGCGCGTAAATGGACGGAGGTGCGCCGCGTCTTTATGTTTTGTTTGCCAGGAGAAGTGAGAGGTTTGATGTGGTGGAAATGAGATGTGAATCGGGTGGGGGGCGGCACCGTGAGATGTGTATGTGCTCTTGCTTTGTGGCAGAGGTTCGGGGATTCCTGCTGGAGGCCGGCAGGGCCACATACACCTTGCGACTGCTTATTGCACCCGCCTGTGGTCGCTGGATATCTAGAAGACAAGAGGAATCATTGCAAAGTTATTCGTCGTCGCGGGAGAAGGTTTCGCGTTGTTCACGTCTACTCTTGTTATTTAGAGTTCATTGAAGTTGGGATGAAAGAGGATCGGCAACAGGTTGATGTTGGACGATTCTCAGCCGATTGGCTGCGTCTGTAGCGGGCAAGCATGGCCCTGCGACGAACAGATGCTGCAGATGATATATGCACTTCTTTGGCTGTATTTACCGCTATCCCGTACACTTTTAGGGGGTATACAAATTACGACCGTAAACGCTCAACACCATGACCATTTCCCTATTTTACTCGAAGAAGCCCGTGCCGTCGTCTTCCTCCTCTTCTTGCTGTACAGGAGCCTGCCACTTCCTCGCCTTGCCGCCATCCTTCCAGTTCACTGCGCGATCCTTGTGGTGGTGGTGATGGTTCTCTGCAGGGAAACTGGGCTTCGTCTTGTTGGCCGCCGAGAAGTTCTTCTTCGCAGGCTTCTTTGGCGCGGCTCCGGTATCCGTCGGCGACTTGCGGTCGCGTAACCTGTATAGTGCCGCCTCGCCCTCGGGAAGGACCTTTTCAATCATCGCCCACATCTTGGGGCGCTCGGCGTGCAGGGCGCGGAGGGCCTTGGGCTGCTTGAACGACTTGTCGTCCGTTTTCTCTTCCTTCGCCTCGTCGTCTTTGGGGGCATCTTGGCCCTTGTCCTTGTTCGGGTATAAACTCTCGTACCGCTCCATCAGGGGGAAGAAGCGGGCATAGGCGACGTCTACTTCGGCCACGTGGGCTTCAGCCTCGAGGCGCTTCTTCTCGTCTGCGTCGGTCGACTGGGTGATTTTCTTGCGGAGTTGCTTGAGGAGCCGTTCTGCCTTTTTCCGCTCTGATCACGAGGAGTCAAAAGTTTGCCCAACAAACAGATGCGGAAAAGAGACACCTACCGAAGAACCTGACCATGTGGTACTTTTGAATCATGTTGCTCCTCTTCTTCTTGAAGTCGCGCTCATCCACCTTCTCGGACAGCGCCTCCAGCTCCTGCTCCAAGTCATTCCGCACCGTAGCGGGCAGCTCCTTGCCGCTTTGCAGAAGTCTCCTGATTGTGCGTGCGCGCGTCCTATTCCATGCCGGCGTGCCCTCCTTGGCCTTGTGCTTCTTCTTGGTGGCGCCGGGACCGGTTCTGGAGCGTTTCGAGTCGTGCTCTCCGTCGTTGTGGTCTGAGACTGGGGAGCCGTCGCGAGGAGCGTCGTCCATTGCGACGTCCGAGACTTCGTAGTGTGAGCGTTTCGTGCCCATGGTTGTTGTTGCGATACGGTGGGTAGGCTGTTGCGTGACTTGGGCTGGGATAGATGAATGCGTGGTGATGGCTTCGGGGCATATCTCTTTGGTTCAAAAATTTGGATCGTTATCGAGGACTGGACGTTGCGGACCCCACCCGGCGCTTCTTATCAGCACCGTTTGGGACTAGCGTGCTATTTGAGCCGCTCGGACCAACGACAGGTCCCAATCACAACTGCTCAATGAAGCTGTAGCCCAAGCTCAGTGAGTTCAGATATACATACTCACAGCGGCTTCAACTTTGCGACAGAAGGAATTGAACTACGCATCTTCGACCATAATATCTTGCAGCGGTTGCATAATCTCTCCGCGATCATAAGAATCTGTCAACAACGACACTCATCGGTCTCACTCACGACATCTCATCCCACCTCATTAGCCTGCCAACTGCCTTGTGGGTCGTGGGAATACGCAGTACACATCGGTGGCTGGATTGGGGCGAAGACAAACGCGATCCGTGACAGGCGCGCCGTGAGGTTCAGGCTCGCGTGGTCGCCATGGACCGCCCGGAGCCTGGGCTCATCAAATGGTCGCAAATCCCCGGCTACGACAGCTTCATCCACATCAACCTACAGCACCGCGTCGTCCAGCTGTACGAGCCCAACGGCCTTGCACAGCGGAGCAAGTTCGACTATGAACGGCTATCAAAGCACGATGACTTCCCGACCTTGACCACGTATGACTGGTCCCCCACGGTTCCAGGCCTGCTGGCTGTGGGAACTCAGACGGGTGTGGTCAACCTGCTGAGGATGGACGACAACTCCAACGCCTACATCGAGTTGGGCCTTAAAATGACAAGAACGTGTCAGGCGGTTGCGTTTAATACCGAGGGTTTGCTTGCGGTCGGTTTGGATCGTGTGCGTATGGATCAGTGCCTACACATATGGGACGTCAACCGCCTGTCGTCGATGGACAAGTCTGCCAAGGGATTCTCCAAGGATATGCACTCTTTTACGGATCCTGCGTACAGGTTGGAGCCTAGTGTATCTGTGTCGAGTGTCAAGTTCTTTGAGGACAACCCAAAGACATTGGTTGTTGGAATAAAGGCTCAAGGATTACGCATCCACGATCTGCGAGGTGAGATGTTGGATCTCATATGCCATAGGTCATTGCTAACATCGTCTATAGAACCGAACATTGGTGTCGTCACGTTTCAGACCAAATGCAATAACAATTTGGCAATAGACTACGCTGATCAAAACTACTTTGCTTCGTCAGCGCTTGACCAGCCGGGCATCATGATCTGGGACCGTCGAGCAACATCCCGCCCGGTTGCTTCTCACTCGTATCTTGGCGCAGTGGATGAGGACGAGCTTCCATGGGGTGGTGCACTCAGGCTTGACAGGGTCGTCGACTCTGACGATGACCCGTCACTGAGCGAAAGCAAGCACTCGATCGTCCGCTCTTTGCGCTACTGTAGAGACCACCGCGGTCTTTTGGCTGTGCTGTCTCGCACTGGGCAGTTGAAGGTTTTGAAGACAAACAAGGAGCTAACACCTCCCGACATGTCTCTCGAGGGCAGCCCGGAGCTTTTAGAGGTTCACAAGTCTTATGATATGGATGTCCAGTATGGTGATAGCGGGAAGAAGAACGACCGGATCGTCTCGTTCGATTGGGTCACTCTGGACTCAGCTGTACTACAACCTCGATTGGTTGTCTTGCGCGCCAACGGAACGTTTGAGATTCTTGAGCAACCGTCGTATACGTCCGATTACTTGTATAAGCTGACGCCATGGCAGCCGCCTCATCGCGGCCTCGAAGGTACGTTCCCTAATCACACGGAAAACATCTTGCTGATGTGGTACAGAGAGCGGCCCGTACCATAACATCATGGAGTTTGAGCCATCACAATCCTCCGACATGCTAGGTCCGTTATTCGTCGAAGAGGCCCTCTCAGATATAGCTATTTTTGGACCAGATAAAGTCGACGTCCAGACTATTGTCGACAAGACGTTACAGGCCAGATTTTCTGCGGCAGACCTCAACAGTAGGTTGATAGGAAACAACGAACGGTCCCCGTCTGCTCTTGATAAGTCCAAGACTGTGGCTGAAAGAATGCGCGCGTTGCGTTCTGATTTGAAGGAGAAGGCGAAAGAGTTGGAAACAAACGGTGCGGAGTGCTCGAATCTGGAAGAGTCGATAAGCTCCCTGGCTCAGCTGTCTCTCCATTACGACGGGCCTGTGTCTTGCCGCCACATGCATGAGTCGCTACTTTCTCTGACCCTCAAAGCCCAAAACCTATCTACCGAGTCGCAGTGTCTGCTAGACCATGCCATGCTTTTGCGCGCAAAGGAAAAGTACTTATTTGACTGCAATGTCAATCGGGCAGTGGTTGCCGATGACCCCTGGCTGCGATACATGTGGGATTGGATTGCAGGTAGGTCGTTGCGTCTCCCTGATGCTTCAAAGCTAACAATGACCAGACGCGGAGGACGCTGCCCAGGACGGGGGCATGAAGTTATCCCCTTTGGACTTGAGTTACATGGGTGTCTGTACAATTTGGTGTAATGATCTAGGTGGGTTATCTACGATAGTGTATGAAGACGCTGTCACTGACGACGAGCAGGCCAGAAGCCATCATCGAGATTACCTGAGGCATCGCCGATGCCCGAGACAACGCTTTGGGAGAAGACGATTGGAAGCATCTGCAAGAGACGTAAACTGCCAAAATACGAGGGTACTCAGACCAAGAAGCCATTTCACAGGCAGTTATGCTTGGATATTTGCGGATGGGGAGATAATGCAGCACACGAGGCAAGGGGGGCTACACACGACCCAGGCGAGGACTATCCAACAACGGCTCACACTATGGCGGCGGCTCGAGCTCTCTTCAAAGGGGAAACCCAGGAGGCGATCCGAATATTGAAGACGGCGAGCGTGACGCACCCAGAGCTTCTCTTCGTGTCGCTCGCGCTGCAGCTCATCGGCAGGAGCAACAACAAGCTCAGCAAGGAACAGCTGGACTTTGACGAAGCCGTTGCGTCAAAGACGGATCCGTACCTCAGGGCAATTTCGTCGCTGATTGCTACAGGGGACTGGTTTGCCATTGCGAACCAGAAGTCGCTGCCTCTGTCGGACCGCGCATACGTGGCCGTCAGGAACTTTGACGACGAACAACTCACCAAATGGCTGCATGAACAAGTTTCGATGGCAGTGGATACCGGAGACGTCGAAGGGATCGTTCTCACGGGTATCACGGACAGGCTGGTGGATATCTTCGCCAAGTACGTCCAGAAGTTCAACGACTTCCAGACGGCCACGCTGGTCATGTCAATATGCGCGCCGCGATACATTGACGACTACCGCTGCCTGGCGTGGCGCAATGCATACAGAGCATACCTCCAGCGTCACAAGGCATTCCTGCAACGAACCAAATTCGAGGTTGAAAGCACAAAGAAGAGCAAACGTGGGGGACGCCCGACCATCAAGCCGCCGTCACGGCAGATTGCGCTTCGGTGCGTCTACTGTGACGCGGAGACGACTCTCGCAGGGCAAGGGGGGCCTGGCGCGGGACCACCTCCCGGAGCACCCGACTCGCGGAACCCGCTCATGGCGACGAGCATCAATGCGGGAATCAGCTGTCCCAACTGCGGGCGTCACCTCCCGCGATGCGTCGTGTGCATGGAGGTGGTTGGTGTTCCGAGATCTGACCGGCCGGAGCTCAACGGCGAGCCGGAGAGTTGGATGGCGGCCAACTTCCCGACGTTCTGCCTCAAGTGCGAGCATGTGCTTCACCTAGACCACGCCAGACAATGGTTCACGAGACACGTCGAATGCCCCGTGCCCGAGTGTCGCTGCCGATGCAACTTTCGAGCCAACCCGGAGCTTTCGTATCATTAATGACGACGGGAGGAGGAGTCCAGAACGAGGCACGTTTGCGTGGGGAAGGCTGGAGACGCGCATGAGCAAGCTGCGTCTAATGATGACGGAAGTGAGGGGGCTCGTCGGGTTCGGTTCGTGTTTGGCAGCTGTTTGACGTGGACCACCGTTGAAGGCGAGGCGACGGTGGGCGGTTGGGCTTATCTGCCCATGTTCTGGCCAATGTTCTGGATGAGCCCGTCTTGATTTTACCGTGTTTTGATGGAAATACTTATGACATGATTATGTATATGCTGCTGCAGAGTCACAGTTCCCCGGCGCGGAGAGGGTGTCGCGGAGATTTGCAACCCCTGTTCTTGGGTGTGCTTCACACGTTTGTACCTGCCAAGTACCTTTTTCTTCTTTATTTATACTCATGTGCAGAGGCTAGAAGCCTGAAGCCTGAAGGTGGCCGTCTAGCAGGAGCAAGCAAGCAAGCCCAAACAGCGGGAAGCAAGCAGGGCAGGCTGAAGAGTGATGTGACAAGCGACAGACAACCTAAGGTACCCGACCTAGGTAGGTAAGGTAGGCAAGGCAAGGCGAGGCGTAGGTCAGGGACGGAGTGGGAGGCAGGTTGGCAGGTAAGGTACGGAAGGGTGGGCTATCACATTCTGGTGATCGGTCACTCGCACTAGGGATGTATTCCAGGTTGCGGGGATCTTGACCGGCGGTGCAATGGGACGCTGGGCCATCCGTTTAGAGGTGTCCGGTGAATGCGCTGGTTGCCAGCTTGCCAACCCGAGATGCGGCTTGCATGTTGACTGTGGCCAGTCCGGTTGGGTTTCGGGCAGTCATGTGTATGACAGGCGGCCCTCCCACGAGGCGCTGAAGGAAGGGGACCCACTTGGCGCAACTCGGTGCGCAGGGTGGTTCTTCCCCGGGGGAGCGATGGGCACCAGGGCAGGTATCGGCCTTGTCACTCGCTGCGCTGAGGGTGCCCTGTGCCCTGTGCAGACTGAGATGGACGGTGCAGAACGTCAACGGCGTGGAGCGCGGGCTGCTGTCAGCCGAGGTTGTTGGCGACTATTCGTCGTGCAACGGCCTACCTAGGCAAAAGCCCAGTGGCTTCCCTCCCCTTCCCGGTCCAGTCCCGGCCATCTTCATTCGGGGAACTGGTCCGGGCTCCTCCCACCTTCTTCTGACTTCAATTCTTCAAGCAGCCGTCACAGGGATCCTTCCCGCAAATTTACCTGCGGTGATTCACGTCTCTTCACGCCTGCCTGCCTTGCCTTGCCTCGTCTACCGTTGGACGGGCACCTACGGATACCCAGTCGTCCAGTCCAGTCACCTCGATACCCTGCGCTTTCCAGTTTCATCTGGCAACCAACACCGCACACGCGCACGACAATCACGAGAAAAGGGACCCCATTCCTACCTTACCCTTCGATTTACCTTACTGCATCCGTCCTGCCTGCCGGAATTAACACACCTCATCTTACCTCACCTCACCTCGCTCAGTGCAGTCTGCGACGCGGCCACCCATCATGTCACTCGAGGTAATTTACATCACTCGCCATGGAGTAAGTATCGCTTCCCTTTTCCAGCCAGCCTGCTACCTACCTATCATCTTTTTTCTGTCGTATCCGGTTCGATTTCCGTCTCCGGTCCCGTCCCTGTCCTCATCCCCTCTTCATTCACCTGCGACTCCGCCCTGGCCCTCACAAGTCCCAATGAGGGACGAGAATGCCAATGTGGTTGCGGATGCTGTGCAAGGTCAAGTTCCCTCCTTGGGGACAACAGATTCTTCAGCCCCCCCCCTCGCTAGGAGCTTTGAACCCACAACGCCCGAAGCCCCCTAGCCCCATCCGGTTCTCGAACTCGACGATCTTGTCCCGAGGTGGTGCGGGTGTGCGTGTGCAGACGTTGGAAGTTGGCCTTGTTGGTTTTGACCGGAATCATCTCTGACAATAAGCCTTGGCCTTCATCAGTTCCGATCCAATTGGCTCGTCGACCCTTCAACGGGCAATTACACGGCCTCCATCCCATCGCCCACAGGAATCCCCTCGGATCCGGCCCTGACGGCACACGGCGTCGACCAGGCCAAGGAACTCGGCGCCCACCTCCTGACCGTCGAGCCTCCAATCGATGCCGTCTACTCAAGCCCCTACTACCGCTGTCTGCAGACCATCACGCCCTTTGTCTCCCTCAAGGAGGACGAAATCAACCAAGGCGCCCAAAAAGACGTTGGCGCTAAGAGCGATGCCACCGTTATTCGCCCCGAGCATGGTCTCTGCGAATGGTATGGAGCCGCCCCGTTTGACCACCCAACGCCGGCCTCGCCGGATGTGCTGAAGCCCATGTTCCGTCACCTCGATGCAGCGTATCAGAGCCGCGTGTTTCCCGCCCGCAAGGGCGAGACCATCGCTCAATTGCACGACCGCGTCGCCGCTGCCGTTCAAGCCATCATTGAGCAGTGCGATGCCGAGGGCAAGCGCGCCGTCGTCCTGTGTTCACACGCAGCCTCAATCATTGCGCTTGGTCGGGTGCTTACCGGAAATATGCCCGAGAACATTGATGCGGAAGACTTCCGAGCCTTCACCTGTGGGTTGAGCATGTACCGGAGAAAATCACCGTCTTCTTCGGAACGAGCGTCAGAAACCGATGGTAGGATTCGAATCCCTACGTCATCATCAGGCAATGGGTCTTTTCAACTGACAACCAACAGGTCCTGGTCCTGGTTCTGATGCTGGTGCCCCAGCAGAAACCACTCCTTGGAGAAATGGTCGGGGAGTTGGAGGAGGGTGGGTATGCGAACTCAACAGCGATTGCAGCTTCTTGAGCGGAGGCGAAGAGAGGGGATGGTAAGATGGATTTTCCCGCCTCCTGTCGTGTTTCTGCCAATGAGGGACCTTGGGCTCATCCTAACCCATGTTGCCGTCCAGTGCCCACCGCTGACTGGGTCCCTCGGAGTCAGAAGGCCCATCCCTTTCTTTTTGGCTCCGGGCCCCTCGCCTAGGGGACTATGCTAAGTCTGTGCTCTGTCAAACGCTGACGACTTGTCGATCTACAGGAGATTCTCGGGCGACGAGTCCTTTTCCGCGGCCGAGAAGTCATCGGAGGTGGACGCTGGCCTGGCGCTCGGCGTGGTGGTGGAAGGAACAGTGAGACCCGACAAGGCCTCTCCCCACAGAGGAGCTGCAGGTCATCATCGCCTCTAGGAACAGGTTTATTGACGGTGCGCTTCGTCATTTGCATTTTCTTTTTCCAGAGGCGAGGAATTGGTCTCCTCACGGGTCGCAAAAAGGGTCGAGGCTGCGACAGGTCCTGGTTTCTGCGACCTGACCAGAGACCGATCCGCACCACCCGCCTTGCGGCCGATACACGATGGCAGCTAATGCCGGATAGACTTGCCTAGCTGCTGCGGGATGCATCATCTGCATGTCTTTGGCACGGACTGGGTAGCATCAAATCTGCGAGCCAGTCAGCGCAGCGGCTAGCCCCGAATCCATGACAAAATGACCCCTGTCACTTTCATCTCACAGCTGCCACACCATTTCAACGCTCCCAAAGTCCAACTTCAACGCTCTTTTGCCGCTTCGCCTTTGAATGCTGCCTATCGTACGAACTGCTCGCGAAAACCCTCGCTTCACGGCGAACCTTTACTGACCATCATGCTCGGCCAAGATTGGCGGCTTCAGCTGAAGAAAACTTCTCGTATCAGAAAACAGCCATTGGCGCCCAATGTCTATCCTGTGTCATGAGCACATGCAAGCCAACTGACGTGCTTGTACCCGGCGTCTCGCCGCTCCCACGCACTGCGTTGTCTGCCTAGGTGGCTCGATCCCTTGATACCTTGGGCCACCGAGAAGGTCTTCGCGGTGCTCACTGGCGAATCCTTGATCGGCTGATTCCTTATCATCACGCAGCTCAACAGCAGACATCCGCTCTTACCCGCCTGTTCTCAGCCTCGCGATTTCGTGGGCCCCTCCTGGAGCCCCAGGGGATCCGCACACAGGATAGAGCCCGCAACAGCAGAATGAGAGGCAGATCTGGTGTGACGCTGCGCTGAAGAAGGCCCGCTTGGCACGACCGTGCCGCCGTCATACGTCTCCACCCAACAAATCCCGTCCACTGTGGCACGACCAGTTGAAAATGCCCTCATCAGGGGCCGGCACAACGGCATCGACTAACAAGATTATTGTACCTGGCTCAGATTCAACTACAGCTCGATATGTGATATTCCGTCCGCTTGGAAGCTTGAGCGGCGGCAGCATGGGGTCCGATCGCTCCCGGATGCGTCTTCCGACTAGCCTGCTAGGTGTCTTTGCCGAGACCCCAGGCATCATCCTCGGGTGTGTCTCGTCTATCTCTCCCTTAGCGGTGAAGGTTGACACTATTTGACTCAGCTGCTCAACGACGAGCGTTCCTGTTGAGATGGCGAGTACACGGGGCGTGTCGCCAGTGGCCACTTCAGCTTCATAACACGCAACACCATCTTCCTGCCAAGATGCAGTTCTTGGGGAACTTGGGAGCTCATGATCATCTCAGTTATGTCAAAAGAGCGGTGGCCGTAGGCAGCACGACGCAAGAGGTAGGAGGAGGGCCGGATTCGCGCTCACAGATCTTCTCACGAGATACTGTTGCCATGGACCAGGCCTCGAAGCGTCTGTCCTGACATGTGTACAACCGGGGATGGTATACTTGCTTGAAACGCGTGTGCCTTTCGCAGGGAAAGGAAAGTACATCCTTAGGTCTACTGCAGAGTAGGCGATGATGGAGGGGCGTGTCTGGCCTCTGCCAACCTCACTCCAGCCTCAATGTACAAGCCGATGGCGGAAGCAGAGTACATGGCTCGCTATAGACGATTTCTTAATCGGGCGTCATGCTTCTGTAGATCATATCGACAAGCCGGCCGGGAGCTTGTCTGTTTCGGATTTTGACGACGGGTATTGGCTTGAAGAGAGTTGCAGACAGGTTCCAAAAGGAAACGCAGAAAAAGAACGACGGGTAGCCACACAAACGCAGGGCGTAGCCTTTTGGGTGGCATTATTGACAACAACGCAGCCGCTGGTCTAGCACGACCATCTGCAGATGTCAACATTCGGCAACCCAAGTTGAGGCGGTCACGAAGGAGACCGAAAGCGGCCTTCAACGGCTACCATTCAGACGTGGCCTAAGAGCATAGTCAGGCACAATTGCGCGACCTCGTGGCTTGCGTTCCGTTGTCAACGTCGCTGCCGGTTCCAGAAATTGATATGCATCATGGCATTCGGCACGCGGGGTCGCACAAAGTTTCCCAAACAATCAACAAGCAACCCGGGTTTCAGGGCTGATTGGTAACGGGCGACACAAAGAACTGCTGCAAAATGCAAGTGTTGCGTCGAGCGATTCGCTGCGAAGTCAAGGCTGTGAGGTTTAGTAAAGAGCACGCTGCTCGAGTTTGCAGCATCAACGCACCAGAAGCTATTCAAGGTGGTCCAACCAGGACCGAGCGATGACCAGGGTTCGACACGGTAACTCGGACTCTAAAGCGATTTTATCACCGCTCCGTCGTCAGAGCGGTAAAGAAAAGGAGACGGGCGAAGAAGTAGAAAAAGAAAAGAAGACATCATGGCGAACGCTCCTGCACCTCGCACTCGCCCAGCCATCGTCGCGTGGCTTTGACTAAAGGGAGGATGATCCCTGAATTTGACAGCGCGCTTGGGATGAATCTAGTGAAGAGTCCAGACGAGACAAAGGGTACCTTCTGGGAGTGGAATAAGAAATCTGGGGTCCGTTGGCCAGACGGTGAGCCGGTCGGCAACAGGTTCGCAGACGCAGGCGCACAGGACGGGCGAATGTGGACAGGTTTGGATGCACTGCACTGTACCACAAGAAGACCGTTACATGCTATCCGTATGTATGCTTCTTGTGTGGTGTGGGGAGTCCGGGTCGGGACCCCCAGCAAGACGTGTTCCGCCATCCGCTGCCCATCTGGCCATCGAAATCTGTGGCGGCGACGCTTTCTTATTCCAGCGTCTCGAATCATGATGAAGATCCAGATGCGCTCATGGCGACCTTGCGCAAATTACGCTACAACGAAGTCAGCCAAGGGACACCCCTCCCCCCTGGTCATGGTTGACCTAAGCGTACCCAACCTTGCCAACGCTGCCAAAACTGGGTGTTGAAGAGGTGGTAGGAACCTGGGAACTTCAGCAGCAGGTTGCCGTGTGCGCCTTGCCCACCCTCGTCGGGCGGTCCCCGCAAGAATCGAACGGACGAGCTCGAGGCCAGACAGGACGGCGGCCCCACAAACCGTGTTCCCAGACCCTTGACGGGCGGCGGTAAGGCGGCTGCAGTCGACGACTACCGCGTGGTGCTTTCAATCGGCCGCCATTCATCGATCCCTCCGTCAGCGGGACCGATGTGGTAGTGTGATTATCGCTCTCAAATCAGAAATGCATCTCAGACAGAAACCTGAGTTATTACGAAGGGGGACTCGCCTGCGAGATTGCAGCTTTGCAGACTTGGTCGTCGTCGTGAGTGACTTTGGCTACTGGGTGTGTGGAGAGAGATCCGAGAAAGGAGGAGAGAGGAAAGCGAGAGGCAGGTGGCCGAATAGAATGGGCGTTCCATTCCGCAGCGCGATGCAGAATCACACCGACTCTCGACACCGGTAGCAGGCCACGCTGCAAACACATGGGAGTGAGTGTGTGTGTGTGTGTGTGTGGGATTCAGACGGATGTCATCGTATTGTACGGGATGGATGGGCGGCATGGATGGGCCAAATGAAACGGCAACGACAATAACAACAATGGGCGGCCCCAAGGCAAGCAAACTCGGGATGGATGGGCGGCATGGATGGGCCAAATGAAACGGCAACGACAATAACAACAATGGGCGGCCCCAAGGCAAGCAAACTCGACAACCGCATTTTGTCATTTTGTGCAGAGCATGCTGGAGGCAGAGCCAGGGCCATGTCTGCTATTATTGCACTCGCTTCCAGAAATCCGGGACGACAATACTTCAACCGATTATGACCCTCATCTTCGAGTCCCAGGTCAGGCTTGGGAGGACCCAACAAGAGCCAATGACAAGAGCGCGTTGGTCCAACTGCTGATGAGGCTGGAGGTCGCACAAGGCAAAGCAAAGCACAGCACGCCGCACTATGGACAGATGATATGCTTGCAGCTTGTGTCTGCGGTTCTGTCTTTCTGCTCTCCAACGCACTGTCACTGTCACTGTCACTTTTACAGTTGCTCTGTTTCTCATCACACATTTCACACACTGGACGCTTGCTCGACCACTTCTTTCGGCTGGCGCCATCCCCACCAACCAATGGATACAACATGCTCCCAAGTGCATATTCTCGCTATCCACACCCCCTTTCACACCCGCGGCCCCGAATCGCCATGGAACAAAACCCAACGCAAAAAAATGAAAAAAACACCCCCATCATCCGTTATTCGTCTCTGCTACGTCCGAAAGACAGTGGAACTCGCGGCTTGGCCCCCCGGGCCAGTACTACCCTCCAAACCCTCACGCACCCAGCTGTGACGCGCAGCTCGATCTAAGACTAGCGCCCCCGGAGAGGAGAATATCGACTGTGCAGCAGGTCCCGAATACCACCAACCTGCGGCCTGCGCGCAACGGCAGGACAGCGGACGCAACGCACCTTGTAGCAAGGTTGCCCACACACATATTGATGTAGGGAGGTACACACAGCAGTACACGCTACCCGTCCTTTTTCATTAATAGTACCGCCTACTGCAGCTCCCCCGAAAGGTCCTCCTCCCCCTCTCCATTGTATGGACATGCACCGTCATCTCGACTATTTGGTCCAAGGTCGACATGCGGATTAAGTCTCCCTTGCAAACCTGCAAAACCCCCACCTGCGCCCGCAAGTTCCTTCCCGCGGTCCATTTCCCTCTTCTTTGATCCTCACACCTCCCCGTCTCACAATGCATGCCTGCCATCTCACACCCAATCCTCGTCATTCCCAAACAGGTCAGAGCCTTGTTTGCTACCCGCCTTCCACAGTCCCCGTAGCCTCCAAAACCCTTGCTCGTCCACTCATAGGGAGGGTGGCGTTCCAAAGGTATACCGATAGACACTGAAAACGCATTACACAATTGGAAGAGGGGCGCCAGAGACCCAATTGCTCAGAGATGACGAACCGGGATCGTGTCCCCAGAGCGAGGCAGGCTCGGAGAGGAGGAGGCGGCGGAGAAGGAGGAGG